GTCTTTTGTTTCTCTCTCTATCTGGTGAGTGCATGCACCCTAATGCACTCCAACACCTAAAAAAAAGTGTTACATGTAGAAAAGCAAAACAACAGACAGACGAAACTATGAAATAAAGCAAAATCATTAATGTGGACTGCATGTACAAGAGTTTATTACACAAGGAAAGAAAAATAAAACCCTACTACAGATATTGGATACTCCTTTACATTATATGTTTTTCTTTTCTTTTCTTCTTTTCTTTTCTTTTCTTTTTTCTTTTCTTTTCTTTTTATTTTTTTTAAGGTTTTTGCCATATGGCATGTGCACTTGCCAGAGACAGTGAAAGGGAAAGTAAGAAATCATCCCCTGGGGTGATGGCTATGCCACAACCCTTTCTCTTCTATTCTCCTGGGATTTTGAGCATGCACACACATATGCCCTGCATGATTTTCAAGCTTCTAAATCTAGGTCTCCAACCATGGTCAGTCATGTAGGAGTCCAGCACCTAAACCACCATGCCTTGCACTGGCCCCTAGATTACACTTCTATAGTTTTTCATATATTGATATGTGTTGTGCCTGTTTGTATGTGTACATATATAAACTTGAATTCAATTTTAATGGAGTTTTATTTCTTTGTGTTGTTGCCAGAGAACGTGTGCATTTGCCAGAGAGAGAGACAAAGAGAAAAAGTTACCCCGCACGGGGTATGGTAATGTGCCATCTCTTTTCCTCCATTTCTCCAACCCATCCAGATTTTAGGCACATACATACACATGTATGGCATAATTTTCAAGCCATGAGGGCCAGAACTGCAGTTGGCCATGTGGGATCTGTCTCCCCATGTACAGTGATTGACCTCTGTGGTATGGGGCCAGTCCCAAATTTTACTTGTATTTAACTGACACATAGTAATTGTGCATATTTATGGGTACATTGTAATGCTTTCATATGTGTATTAAGTCAGTAATGATAAAGTTAATATAATTAGCATATCCATGATGTTCCTCAAAAAATAAAACTATCATGTAATCAGCAATTCTACTACTGGGTATATATATATTTATATATCTAGAAAAATAGAAATTAGCATGTAACCTATGTTTATCAGGTTTACTACAGCATTACTCACAATAGTCAAGGCATGAAATCTTCATAGCTTTTTAATTTGATTAGATTGTGGAGAGAGAATTACAGTTTATGAGGCAAGACATTAACTGTTAGGGATATGAAAAAGATAAAGAATTTAGTTGTATCAATAACAATGATACCTAACACATAAAGAGTGCTCTAATATTTGCAAAACAATTTTATATGCATTGTTTCTTTAATTATATAATTAACCTTTAATTAATGACTTTCACTGAAAAAGCCTTCCCAACTAATCAGCTACCCACTGTTATCTTCTTGTAATCTTATGAAAGTAATATTAAAAGAAGAGTCTACTGTAACTATTACTGAGCCAATAAATATTTTACATGAATTAATTAAGAAGAAAGAACTATATGAAAGTGAAACCACTGAAATCTAATACATAAAAAAGACATACATTATATCTTTGGAATTGATTTAGGATATAATCTAAAAATACACAATCAAAAGAAAAAACATTAAAAAATTATGTTTTTCATGACTCTGCAAAAAAATACAGGAAATTATGTTCATTAACACAACAAACAGAACTGAAGGCAAATTGTAAATTAAGGTTATGTATTTGAGTACATATGAAGACCAAAAGTTAATTTCAGGTTTTATTTGTATTATGTTTTAATTTATGCCATGTTTTGTCCTGAAAAGAAGTGTGATGTCATTGACACATATTTAGCTTTAACAAAAAATGAAAAAAAAACTAAAAAATGTTGTAGGGGATGGAGACAGCAGTTAGCATAATGGCTATGTCACTGGACTCCCATGTAGTCGACCGTGGTTCACGTCCTGGATCCGATGGCTTAAAACTGATGCCGGGCACGTGTGCGTGCGTGCCCAAGATCCCGGGAGGAGCATGGAGGAGAAGGGACTGCGGCGTGGCCATCCCCCTGGGGGGGGTGATTTCTCGCTTTCTGTTTCTCTGTCTCTGTCTGGTGAGCGCACGTGCCCTATAGCACAAACCTCTCCCCCCCAAAAAAAAACCTTCAACCAATAACACCACACATCCCCATCCCATCAATGCTCTATCTCCGTATCCCTTCTCCAAATGTCCTTCCTGAGGCCCCACTCCTCCACACACACCTCATCTGGCATTCACATCCATCTCTTGTGTTTGTACATCCTTTAGCCCGTCAGTTTCAGTCATAGAGTGCAGACACTTGGTATATATTAAATGGGGACATACAATGTCTCTCTTTCATATCCTGGCTTGCCTCACTCAGCAGTAAATCTTCCATATACTTCCACTTTCTGTCGAAAGAAAGTGTTTTGTTGGTTTTGATGGCTGAATAGTATTCCATAGAGTATATGTGCCACAGTTTTTCAATCCATTTATCCATACAGGGAGCATTTCGGTTGGTTCCATGTCTTAGCAATTGTAAATAGTGCCGCAATAGACATCAATGTGCAAGCACTTTTCCAATGAAGAATTCTTCTGTCCTTTGGGTAGATATTGAGGAGTGGGATTGGAAAAATTACTGGAAGTAATACATGATTACAGTAAAGTTGCAGGATATAAAATCAATATATAGAAATCGATAGCATTTCTATATATAAATAACAGGCAGACAGACATAGAACTGAAAAAAGTTATTCCATTTACCATAGCCACCAATAGTATACAATATTTAGGAATAAATCTAACCAAAGAAGTTAAAGATCTCCACAAGGAAAACTATGAGAAGCTAAAAAATGAAATTGAAAATGACTCAAAAAAGTGGAAGGACATCCCATGTTCCTGGATTGGAAGAATTAATATAATCAAAATGGCAATTCTACCCAAATTAATCTACATAATTTAATGCAATGCCAGTCAAAGTACCAGACACATTCTTCACAGATCTAGAAAAGACAATCATAAAATTCGTCTGGAATCATAAAAGACCCCATATTGCCAAAACAATTCTATACAAGAAGAGTGGAGTGGGTGGCATCTCACTCCCTGACCCCAAAATATACTACAAAGCTTTGGTTATCAAAACAGCATGGTACTGGCACAGAAACAGACACATGGACCA